TTTCAGCTCGTAGATTTATTATTTTTTTTATATTTTATTTTGCAGTTGACTTTGATTCTAGTTGAAATTGTTGATTTTGTTTATGAATTTGATCCATAGTACTGGGAGGTTTATGTTTTGATTCAACATCTGGGTTTGTTCCAGAGTTGGAGTAGTCTAAGATCCAATTTTGATCTTTGCCCTTCTGAGGGTTATCATATAATAGAGAAGTGAGCTGAATTATTGTATCAATATCAAATTTGGATTCTCAATGAGGCTATGGAGTTTCTCTCCATTGGTTGGCCTCATAGTTTTCATCACTATTGCAGTGCTCTTAGGAGCTTTCTCTCGATCTATTTTCGATTCAAACATCTTAGGCACTAGCCAAGAATTTGAAGTTTTACATAGAATCCCATCTAAAGGTTCAGGCAAGCCCCCAATCTTTGCATATTGGATTTCGGGAACTGGTGGCGAGAGCGAAAAGATACTGAGGCTTTTAAAAGCAGTTTATCACCCAAGAAATCGGTATCTTCTGCATTTAGATGCAGGGTCTAAAGAATCAGAGCGGATTGATTTAGCTAAGGCAGTTCAATCTGAGAGAGTTTTTAAGGCTTTTGGTAATGTTGGTGTTGTTGGCAGAACTTATGCAGTTGATAGAACTGCTGCATCTGCTGTGGCTTCTGTGCTCCATGGAGCTGCTATGTTGCTCAAGATTAATCAGAATTGGGACTGGTTCATTACGTTGAGTGCTTCAGATTATCCACTTGTGACTCAGGATGGTAAGAATTTTATTTTGAATGTGGGTGATTGTGCTTCCTTATTCAGTTTTTATTGATATCTAGGATAAAACCTTGTGCTTAATTTGATTTAGATTTGAATCAAGACATTGTTAGAATGCAATTACCTGTACTTGGTGAATGTGCATCTTCTGCCCACAAAAGGTGTATGTGGTCCAGTAACTTCTAAAGGAAAAAACTTAAAATATTAATTGTTACAGCCATGTAGGCTTCTTACACCATTATGATTTATCTCCGTCTCTAGTGTTTGTAATGCTAACTGTTTGGAAAAAAAAATGTAATTGGTTGTCAATTTACCACTACGTTCGCCTTCGCTATGAACATCCGAACACGCAAAAAATGATTTTTTTCCCCCTCTATGTGGCTCTTTCCTGTACAAAATATCCATCTTGGATATGTAACCATCCATTTGTAAAGAGAGGAGTAGAGTGATGTAATGCATATATCTTAACTTCTACCTTGAGTTCTTTGTCCTTCTATTATACGTAAGCAACATGCATATGCATAACAGTTCTTTCTAAAGTCATGTCATCAGTTACAAAGGATCAACTAATACATATTCATTTTTGTTTTATGTACAGTAGTCCTTCCATCCACGTGCATGTCATGTACATGAAAACTAGTGAGAGTATATATTTCATTGCTCATTTTGATGTTTTAGCTCTTAGTTTTTTTTTAGTAGGTGAAACTTGTTTCTGTTTATTTTCTTATAACGTTGATCATAATCATTGCATTTGAGATTTTACCTTCATATATCTGCAATCTGTTAGGGTTCTATTTAGAAAAGACTACTTTCTTTTCTGGGATAATCCCAAAACACTTTACAAGTTGTTAATGTATGGACAAAATCTCTAAATTTGTTAATGAAGCTCCATTGATGAATTTTTTTATAGAATTAATTTATGATAAATTTACAATTGTATTCTATTGCTGTCTTTTCATAAGCAATTATTTTTGTAGAATCATCCTTTTCAGTGTCAGTTGATACTTGTTTGCATAGATATCTGTATTACATGAAGACAAAAATGATTTTCATGATGAACAAGTTCTTAATATGATTTTTTATTCGGGTCACAAACGCAAATATGTATACAACTATTCTAGTATCCCCTTTGTATCCACTCTTTTTGAATCGCTTATGTACAACATAGCAACTGGTGAACTAGGAAAGCAGAGTGCCAGCTAGTCAAAAGCTTTCCATTTGGATACAAACAGCTTAATGCCAAACTAAAACTTAGTCTTTTGCAAATTCTAACAGAAAAAAAAAACCTTCTTACTCTACCTGATGCTAGGCAGATTACATTTGAAGTTCTGTCTAATGTATAATATAAGACTTTGGAAGTAAAGCTCCAGACTTAACTAATTCTATTGACATGTATTTCACAAATAATGTTATTAAACAATCCGCTAATGGCAGCAATTAGCAAAGGAAGAACAGGCTGATATTCATTTAAAGATTAAGGTTTGTGATATAGTTGGAAAGATTTGAAGTAATTCAATTGATCCAAAACAATCGTCTCTGAATTATTCGCTTGTTTCTTCTTTTCTACTACTTACAAAGTTGAAATTTTGGTTATTTGCAGATCTCCTACATGTTTTCACTTCGGTGCCTAGGGATCTTAACTTTATTGAAAGTAACCATTTCATTATATTATTAATTTCCACTCATTAAGCTTAGTTCTGCTAATGCAGGTCTGGGAGATTTGATAGAATCATTGTAGATCCGAGTCTTTATATGAACAAAAATTCTAGGGTGTTCTTTGCCACACAAACACGTAATACTCCAGATGCTTTCAAGCTATTCACAGGTCTGTTTCCATTTGCAAGATTATTTCTCCATTCCCTTAATCTATCTATAAGGAAATCGAACAGACATACACGTTTTTGCTATAACTAGAATAATACTTCAAATAATGTTATAGGAATGCTTTAACTTCATAATTGGATACTTTTCTAATGTAAGTTTGCAGAGTTCTTTGGAACTGTGACAAGTGTTCTATATCGGCAAAAATTGGAGCTTCTCTGCATTCAAATTAGTATCAAGTTAACACCTATGCTTAATCAACGCAAACCCATTATTTCAGTCCTTTTATTTGATGATTTTAGAGAAGAAAACCAATTACCCCTACTCGTGCTTCCAATCCATCAGTCAAAACCCGTAACGATCTAATTTCAAACTCTCTGATTTTCTCATTGCAAACCTTCTATGTTTGTATCAAACCCGATATTTCAGTCCTTTTATCTTAGTTGTTATTTAAATTCCTCAGTTAATATCCATGATAACCAGATTTCATCATTTGCTTTGTTTTCCTCATTATATCTTGCTTGCTAATGAGTAGTAAAATTTTCACAGGCTCTCCATGGGTGATCCTCACAAGATCCTTCATTGAACACTGCATCATCAGCTGGGACAACCTCCCTCGAAAACTCCTCATGTACTTCGCCAACGTCCCCTATTCCACTGAAGCCTACTTCCAAACCGTCATATGCAACACTCCTCAATTCCGTAACACAACAGTCAACCACGACCTCCGCTTCTTTCTATGGGACGATCCTCCAAAACCCAACCCAGTATTCCTAAACCGAACACATTATAAACCCATGATGAAGAGCGGAGCAGCTTTTGCTAGACCTTTTGGAGAGGATGAATCAGTACTCAAGAAATTAGATGAAAGAGTATTGAGACGGTCGCACAATGGTGTTGCTCGTGGGAAATGGTGTTCGGGTTTGATCGGAGGTGAAGATGATCCGTGTTCGAGTTGGGGGAACGTTGATGAAGTTGAGGCTGGGAAGTGGGGGAGGAGGTTGAAGAGTTTGGTTGAGAGAATTGTTTCTGATGAGAGATTGGCTTTGGAGCAGTGTAAGTTTTGAGTGCGGATTATGATGGGCTTTTTATACTTGATGGAGGTAATAGTTAATATGGGTTAGTGTTTGTTTGTATAGAGAGATACATGTTGAGAGAATTAGCATATTGTTGATGAGGGAGGAGGAATTTAGGAGGATAGATAAGATTGAAATGGTTCCAATTTTTGTTGGAATTGATGTATGATTATATTATGAGTGTAGCTTAACAACTTTTTCCCCATATGATGAGATTTATACATTTGTTTTTGAACTCTTTGTCCCGTGAGAAATTATCTTCAAAATTCAAGCGCGTCTAACTCTATGATGTGTCAACAGTTAAAACTATCCATATCAGCCATATTAATTATAGCTATTAATTTATCTAATAACAAATCATAGTTATTTATTAATTCAATCAATAGGTATTAATAAGATAATAATCTCTGTACTATTTTTTTAGAAGTGGATCGGATCCGATTCCTCACCAAATGATGACAGTTGAGGGTGATCGTTTGCTAACAACGTAGCATGCTCATCAAAGCAGTAGATGAAACCTTTGTTTTTTTTATCTAGTCATGATGATGATTATACTAAAATAAACAACTTTTAAGGATCAAACAATTCAGTTTGATGGTTTAGTAGTTAATTAATGTTCATTACTGTTGATGACTAGGATCAAACAGTCAATCGTATCCAGAAGATGATAGGTGCGGATCCGGGGCGGGGTCGATTCCTCTTGAGTTCTCACTGGGACAAGGTAGAGGAGATTGATGAAGGGGTCGTCTCCTTCTCCGACGTTATGTCTGGTTCTTGAATTGGAGACTGAAGTCCATACTGCACAGACAAGAAGAACTCGTGAGAGGGCGGGGACCGGTTCCCCCATGGTTCCTCCGACGGTCAAGTTAGTGAAACTTGAGTGGGGAAGGGGAAGGTTAGGAACCGAGGTGGTTCTTGAGGTGGCAAGGTGCGGTTACAGAGGGTCTGTATGAGCTCCTGTGTATATGAAGAACTGTGTGTGTTCTTTCTCTTTTTAAGAGAATTCTCCTCTTTTTTTAGACAGAGAGCCACCCCCCGAGGTTAGGAGTCTACCTGTATATATCATCATGATGTATATATCACCATGATGGGGATAAATGGGTCACTTCCAGCCAAGCATAGGGAGGCGGTGGAAAAGTACGGGCTAAGAGCCGAGTCATCCCTCGCTTTACAGGTGTCGGCTGGCGACTGGAGGGGAAGTCATTTCGGTAGGGGAGAGGGTGTCTCCGCATTTTCCGAGAAGTGATTGAGAGCATGACAGAAGGCACGCTGGTAGGCTGAGTCATCCCTCGCTTTATAGGTGTCGGGTGGCGACTGGAGAGGAAGTCACTTCGGTACGGGAGAGGGTGTCTCCGCATTTTACGGGAAGTGATTGAGAGAATGACAAAGGCACGTGAGAGGCTGACAAGTCATGAAGACCTTCAAGCTAGAATCAAGATAAGGCTTGTCCGAGGTGGGCTGGGATGCTGACATGTGCTCAAGGGAAGAGACTTGAGGCGGAGGTTATTCCTCAATCTAGTTGACAAGGAATGTTCATCAAGTCATCTCCGTAAGTCGCTGAGTAAATGGTCGAGTGTCCTTGGTGGGTCGTCTTCGACAATAGGATCGGCTGATCCCGCCTTTTGTGTTGGCATGAAAGAAATGTCGACTTGATGAGTCGGCGGGGTTGAGGTCTTTGTTGGGCTTGGGCCACTAAGTTGATTGGGGCCTTGTTTGTCGAAATGCACTCATCAATGCTTTGTTTATACATTATATTTCTAGCGAATGGAGAACACCATAGCAGTTAGCTCTTTTCGCTTGGAGTCAGCTTGAGCCGGGTCCGAGTGAAATAAAATAAGCTTCATGTCCTTGTGAACCCACTTGAGAAACTGAAGAGCTTCTTCTATCTGCCGTGGTTTATGTCATCGGGTACCCCTATATCTGCCATGGCTCCATTCTTATTGGCTGATGTCACTCATGGATTTGAACCGTCATTCCAGGAATTAGAGCGTAATGGAGTAAATGGAGGGCGTTCCGATTTTCGAGCATCAAGACGTGGGGTAGTAAAGAGGCGGCGCTTCGTGTTTTGAATAAAACGGTTGAGATTCCAAGACAAATCTCATACGTTTATTTTGAAACACCTTGTGCCTTCAGATGAGCCCACATGGCTCTCCAGAATGCTATAAATAGCTTGCCAAGGCTGATAAACTCTATTTACAAACTTTTGCTCTTGAAAACTTGTCTTCTAAGCTTTGAGCGGAAACATTCTTAATGGCTTCTCAAGCTTTGACCGCTGGCCATAACGAGGAAAAGCTTGTTCTTCTCAACCTCATTCACTCAAGAGTCTGGATGGATGACCTGGTGGGGCTTTATGAGCTTTATGATATCCCCAGGTCTCTTACACTGGAAGCGCCCGAGAGGAGCGAGCCGGTGCATAGGCACGGCGAGAATCAGATGCTTGTATATCTTTCCCATTTGGAGCAAGGTTTACGGCTGCCTCGTCATCCTTTCAACAGGGAGGTACATGCTGCTTTGGGTGTTTCCCCCTCCCAGTTTTACCCATATGTGGTGAGGGCTTTGGTGGCTTTTATAATAATCTGCCACCGTGTGGGAGTACAGCCGAGCATGAGATTGCTCGGTCATCTGGTCAGCATTGGGTCGGTCGAAAAGTACCCGCACTACTTTTACCACTACAGTGGTGATTTCTAGCTTGTCTCTGACTCTTTGTAGTCGAACGAGGGCTGGAGAGAGAGGTATGTGTGGGTCTACGGCGCTGACCGCGTCTTCGCCTGCTCAACTTGGTCGGAGGCGAATAGGGACACGTTAAGGCCGGTTGCCCTTAGCAATCTGGAGATGAGGGACTTGGAGAGGATCTGCTCTTATGCCGGGTCACGGGAGAGGGACGATCTATTCGATAATGCGTCTCTCGGAACGGCAGGCATGTCCATGATCTTGTCTTCCACTAGCGATCAGGAGAGGGCGAGTCCTCTTGCTCTTCCGCTGATGGAAAATCGCAAGAGGGACGCAGAGGCCGCGAGGTCAGGTTCTTCTGTCATGCCTCAAAAGAGATTGAGGGAGTCTCTTGGAGCTGAGGAAATGGCCTGCTTGATGCCTCATGCGGCGAAATTGCCTCCGAATTAAGGGGGAGTACGAGGATCGAGAGGCAGCGCCCAGTCGGACCGGTTGCGGGGCCTCAGCTAGCTGAAACGGGTCCACTGGTTACTCAGCTTAACCGCTTGAGAAATGTGGGGCTGGTAGATGAGTCTTCTCCTAGAAGGGAGACAACGGCCCTGGCAGTTGATGCTGCCGAAAATATGTCTCAAGCTGAGGAGGTAGCTGGCCCTAGCTCTAGGTCTGAGTCGTCTCGTCGCCCTAGCAAGAAGCCTGTGGGGTTCGAGGACGTCGAAGAGCGAGCTGGAACTCCGTCAGACCACGAGGAGAATGGTGCTGACGAGAGGATTCTGGGGTAAATGCCAAGTGTTGGTTCATCAGGCCCTCTAATCTTGCTTGGCTCGGGGGACTTTGTTGGAGCAAGCTCTGTTCAATCGACTTGAGCATATGCACAACTCTTCCCCGGAATGGCAGGAAAAGCAGGCCCAGGAAAGGTTGGGCAAGGAAGAAGCAAAGAAAAGGGTCGCTGCATTGGAGGCCGAGTTGGCTCTTAAGAAGGTGCTTAGCGCCAGAGTCTGGATGAGAAGGAAGAGCTCCTGAAGAATTTTCGGATCCAGTTTTCCAAGCAGATGGGAGTCATCGAGGATCTTCAAAGGGAGATGGCTCATCTACAGGCGGAGGTTAAGTCCGAAAAGCATCAAAGGGCGACGGCTGAGGCGGAGGCTCGATCGAGTCGCCTGTCTCTCGAGAAATCACGGAAGGACTTCGAGGAACAACAGTCAGAGATTCAGGCGTCTGCGGCGCTTGTCAAGGACTTAGAGGACAAGCTCGCTCGTCTGGATTCGGAGCAATATAAAAAGAAAGTGGTCAACGACTGGCGCCATGGCTTCTTAGGAAGGGTTGAAGTGGCTTTGGCATGTAAGGCCGGAGTCGACTACTTAGCTTCGTTATTGCCTCCTAGCTCTCATCCTTCTCCCGATCGCTTCTATCCTTCTCGCGTCTCATGTTGTCTTAACGTCTTGAAAGATGTCGAGAGAAGTGGAGGCGGACTGGATTTAGCAACGAGTGACGACAAGGATGAGCCTGCTGCTGAGACCCCTGGAGAATCTTCTCTAGCTGCTATCGTCGTTAGGAGACCGCCAAGTCCAACTCACGGATCTGGTCGGGAGCTCTGAAGACTTGTATCTTTTTTTAGAGAAGTTTGTAATGAAGTTTCCTCTTGTTGAATGAAAATCAACTTTTGTTTCCACTCTTGAGTTTGCCTTCATTTTTTATATTCTCTTAGCTTTGTAACTTTATTCTGATTGAGAACTAAAAATTAGTTATGGTGATTTAGTTGTGATGTGTCGACCCGTACTTGGGGAATCAAGACAACTGGTTCACCTAGCATCTTATGTTGGCTGGATATGTAGTTCTTTTATTTACAAAAACTTGGCGAAAGATTGCCTGAGTTTGTATGTCAAAAAACTATTAATCTGAGCCTTCAGAGATCATACCTTAGGCTTATGTAAGATGACATGAGGATCTTTTTTGGCAGAATGAAACCCTGAGGTTGGGTGCCTAGGTCTTATGTGGTGCCTAGGTCTTCGATATCCCCATATGGTCGAGAGGCGACTGTGGGAGTCGACCATAGGGTTGGTGCCTTGGGTTTATTCCTGAAAATGTACCAAGAGCTTAAAAGGGGTGTCTAGGTCTTACGTAGGTGCCTAGGTCTTCAATATCCCCGTATGGTCGAGAGGCGACTGTGGGAGTCGACCGTAGGGTTGGTGCATTAGGTTTATTCTTAAAAAGGTACCAAGGGCTTAAAAGGGGTGCTTAGGTCATACGTAGGTGCTTAGGTCATACGTAGGTGCCTAGGTCATACGTAGGTGCCTAGATCTTCAATATCCCCTAGCCTTGAGGCTGAATGACAATCCTGAGGTTGGGTGCCTAGTTCTAACGTAGGTGCCTAGGTCTTCAATATCTCTATATAGTCGAGAGGCGACTGTCGGAGTCGACCATAGGGTTGGTGCCTTGGGTTTATTCCTGAAAAAGGTACCAAGGGCTTGGAATTCAACTGAGGAGTCGAATTCCTAGAACTTATGGAAGTTGACTAGGTCTTTGGCAGCTTTGAGGCTGAATAACAACCCTGAGGCTGGGTGCCTAGGTCTTACGTAGGTGCCTAGGTCTTCGATATCCTCATATGGTCAAGAGGCGACTGTGGGAGTCGACCATAGGGTTGGTGCCTTGGGTTTATTCCTGAAAATGTACCAAGAGCTTAAAATTCGACTGAGGAGTCGAATGCCTAGAACTTATGAAAGTTGACTAGGTCTTTGGCAGCCTTGAGGCTGAATGACAATCCTGAGGTTGGGTGCCTAGGTTTTACGTAGGTGCCTAGGTCTTCGATATCCTCATATGGTCGAGAGGCGATTGTGGGAGTCGACCATAGGGTTCGTGCCTTGGGTTTATTCCTGAAAAGGGTACCAAGGGCATAAAATTCAACTGAGGAGTCGAATGCCTAGAACTTATGGAAGTTGACTAGGTCTTTGGCACTAGTGAAGACTTGATCCCTGCTTTAAGTTTGGCACTTTGTAGCACGAGACAGGAGCCAACTCATATTTGGTAAGATTTCATTAGTACTGAAATTTACACATTTATGGAAAGTATCCGCCATAGGCGTATGACGCTCAGGGGCGTCTGATGCTTGAAATGCTCCATGTTTCTTAGCTAAATGCAGCTTCATGGAAGGTGAAGCCGTCTGTAATTGTAGTCGTAGGCGATTCATTGTTGACTGGTGATGAGTCAAAAGTGCTTTTGCCATCTCATCAGCCATGGTTTCTCTGAGATCACGTCTTCTTTGAGGGCGGCCTCTGGATCATCCTGTGGATGGATCGATTTCCCTTACAGAGATCATGCGAGTCACATGCTTCGACCACAAAAGCTTAGGCAACTATTGTGGTGAAATTCTTTCTTGAAGAAGATGCTTAAGAAGCCAAAGACGTTCTCCCCAACAAGTTGATCAGCCTGCAGACTTCCCGCAATCTCATCCCTGATAGATGGTAATTGTTCCCTTCAAAGAGACATCAGAGTCCAAGGCGCCTAGCGCAAACTTGATCACTGCTCACGTGCTCATATGAGCTATTGTCAGTCGGAACTTGAGTGATATTGGACCTGATCATAACCCATGATCAGGATAAGGCTCTCTAGGTGATTCCACTCAAGGTTTATCTACAGTCAATGAGCCAGAGTTATTCTGCGAAGACAATTAAAAGTTGGAGTTGCTTGTTCAAGGAAGACAGCCACCCTTATGGTGCGTCTTCTTCTGAATGGTCTTTTGGGGTGCTAATGGTCGCTCTACCATCTAGTAGATGGCATACTTGGCAAACACTCCCCAGAAAGTTGCAGAGGCCTTCGAGGATTATGCCTACGTTGATTCCTCTTAGTCAAAACTAACCCTCCTTAGCTTGAATGATACAACTCCCAACTTCGTTTAGCTTGGATGGTACAACTCCAGTGTTGTTCTTCAGGGTGAGTAGAATCAAACCAATGTTCAGAACTTGGCATGTCTTCTCGAAAAAGGGAGGAGGGCCCCACGGTGGGCGCCAAACTATTGATGAGTAGGATCAAACATTCAATCGTATCTAGAAGAAGATAGGTGCGGATCCGGGGCGGGATCGGTTCCTCTTGAGTCCTCGCTGAGACAAGGTAGAGGAGATTGATGAAGGGGTCGCCTCCTTCTCCGACTTTATACCTGGTTCTTGAATTGGAGGCTGAAGTCCATGCTGCACAAACAAGAAGAACCCGTGAGAGAGCGAGGACTGGTTCCCTCGTGGTTCCTCCGACGGTCAAGTTAATGAAACTTGAGTAGGGAAGGGGAAGGTCAGGAACCGATGTGGTTCTTGAGATCGCAAGGTGTCGTTACGGAGGGTCTGTATGAGCTCCCTATGTATATGAAGAACTGTGTGTGTTCTTTCTCTTTTTTAGAGAATTCTCCTCTTTTTTTAGAGAGAGAGCCAGCCCCTCCTAAGGTTAGGAGTCTACCTGTATATATCACCATGATGGGGATAAATGGGTCACTTGCAGCGAAGCATAGGGAGGCGGTGGCAAAGTGCGGGCTAAGAGCCGAGTCATCCATCGTTTTACAAGTGACTGGAGGGGAAGTCACTTCGGTACGGGAGTGGGTGTCTCCGCATTTTACGAGAAGTGATTGAGAACGTGACAGAAGGTACGTGGAAGGCTGACAAGTCATGAAGACCTTCAGGCTAGAATCAATATAAGGCTTGTCTGAGGTGGACTAGGGATGTTGATATGTGTTAAGGGGAAGAGACTTGAGGCGGAGATTATTCCTCAATCTAGTCGATAGGAAATGTTCATTAAGTCATCTCCGTGAGTCGCCGAGTAAATGGTCGAGTGCCCTTGGTAGGTCGTCTTCGACGACAGGGTCGGCTGATCCCGTCTTTCGTGTCGGCATGAAAGAAATGTTGACTTGATGAGTCGGCGGGGTCGAGGCATCTGTTAGATTTTGGCCACTAAGTTGATTGGGGTCTTGTTTGCCGAAATGCACTCATCAATGCTTTGTTTATACATTATATTTCTAACGCATGGGAACACCATGACACTTACCAGACAATTACCAGACAATCTCATTAGGAACTAAAATATTGCTTAAGAATGACCAACAGCGTTGCAGACATTTCTTAAAAGTTCAAAATAAATTTTGTATAGTCACACAAGTGTGAGAAGTTAAGACGGACCATGTTGAATAATGCAAGAGTTGCTGTCAGAAAACCAAGTACAACCGTCATTTTGTTTTACAGACAAAAAAAAAGAAAGAAAAAGCTACGCGTATGATTTTGTTCCAAAATTCACCCAATCATCTGTATTTCTTGTGTTGGAGAAAAACGAATATATTACAATTTCCGCAAACTGTAGGTTAAGAGTAATACAATAATAATGTACAAAGGTGTATAGGCAAACTCTCCACATGTTCTTTTTAGATTGGTCGGATGATAATTTTCTTCAGGATCTGTGTGCGCGCTCTTATTTGAATGTAACCCAAAGGAGCTGAGATTTACCTCAGATGGAGAAAAAAAATACCATGAGAAAGTATGTCAGCTCCTGGATGGTAAAAACAATAGGTAGATAACTCAATTGTATCTTAGGATTTCTTTTGAAGCAAGAATCACATTATATATACTGATAATCTTTGAGCTCCATTGCCAACCAACTTGGGGAAGCAAATAGCTGTAGTTCCTGCGTGTACAATTAATCCACCTAAGTAAAGGAAACTGGGAAACACCCAACATTAATCACATGTAGACTACCTCCTAGATTTTAAACTCATGCAACAAAAAACATCTAATATATATTTGGTAGATAACGAAGGAGTCGACCAGATCATGAGGAAGATAATAAGATTGCAATGCGAAAATGTATAAAAGACATATTACTGAAGAGCCAGAAAAAGAAAAACACGTTTCCATCAATATTGTTCCACAAGCTATAACCATATCAATGCCAGTTAATCTGCATGAAGTTAAATAAACGTAAGTTGCCCTTTAGGTTTCCATTAAAGGGTCAACCAGGCTAAATGGGGTCATACCATAACCCAAAGCAATCAATGAATGGTTTCGTCTGTCAACCTGATTAAGGCCGACAAAAGTCGAATAACTTCTATTTCGGATCAGGTACCTAGTTGGCTAAGATTTGTCAACCCTGATAAAATATATACTCCATTGACCATGATAACTCTATCAATATTAAATATAGTCTTGAAACTGCAGTCTTTCATCAATTTAATCCACGAAAAATAAGAATTATTTTATCTTGATAAAGTACCATAAGTTGGCTCTGCTGGTTTTTTAATTTTCGTTAACGGTAGTGCCAGATACATATTTCTAGAAAGTGGCATCACTATATAATTAATAATTTAAAAAAATTACAACTGCCTTCAACGAGTTCTCATATTTCTAACAAATTACATAATAGCATCATTAATAACACTATCAAATATCAACCATCATTTATTTTATTCAGCAACTTGCTCTTTATTAGCTTCATTACAAAAAATCTCTTTGCACAGTTGTTGTAGTCAGATATGTAGAATCAATATCTTCAGAAGAAAATAAACCAAATGATAGATCTTATGTTTTGTAGTCTCCACCATCTTCTTGGAGAGGTCGCTTATGAGATCTAATCCTATCAAATGTTCTGTAATTTTTATTTATTTATTTTTATTTTTATTTTTTTGGTGGGGGGGAGGGGGGGGGGGCTATTCAGCAACTTGCTCTTTATTAGCTTCATTACAAAAAATCTCTTTGCACAGTTGTTGTAGTCAGATATGTAGAATCAATATCTTCAGAAGAAAATAAACCAAATGATAGATCTTATGTTTTGTAGTCTCCACCATCTTCTTGGAGAGGTCGCTTATGAGATCTAATCCTATCAAATGTTCTGTAATTTTTATTTATTTATTTTTATTTTTATTTTTTTGGTGGGGGGGGGGGGGGGGGTGCGTTCTCAGCCTTTCAGATATAAGGGCCAATTTGGGTGTTTCCATGCCCCCTTACTGCTCAAAAACGCCTTGTGGTGTGAGGTTCTGATAGAATTTGAGCTCATCACTTATGCCTTTCAAATAAGCAAATCTTGCATCCCTATGCGAATCAACAATGTATTTGACAAGTCAATTCTCAAGTATTAACATCTCAAACACTTGAAAAGCCCATGAACATGGCGTAGCGATTTGCAGGGAGGGAAATCTAGCATGTGTGAGGGGGGAAATTATGATCGTGGGATCTGTTTAAGTCTGGTGTTTTTAGTCAATTTAGTTTGTCAACAATTAGTTTAGTGGGCTCACCTAATAATTATTATGGGTCACCTAATATTTTATGAGATTTAATTTGGGTTGGTCTCTTAGTGGGTATAGGGATGGGGTATTATATTTGGAGGAGCAAAATGGGGTCACTTGATCGCACTTTGCTCTAAATGGATCCACCAATGGTTGACGGTGAGATTTATGTTGTAGGCAGCTGTCAAACTTATATAAATAAAACATAAATGCAAATTTCAATTAAAATGGTGTATTTAGATAAATGTTTAGCCTGTGCAATACAAACAATATCATCTGTTCCACCAAAGAGTACAATCATAAACATATGATTTTAAAGTTTGAGCTGCGAGATATCAGAACTAAAATCAATTGAAAAGAAATATTCCAAGACAAAAATAGAATTAAATGCATTCGCTTCGCGTTAAGCATACGAAAATTTGCAAATTCTTCAAAGGATGATGGACAGGATTGTTTAAGATTATAATGCATTGTCCATTGATGAATGATGGAAAGAACAGTAAAGGCATTCATTACTTACTGGTGTTCTCAAATAATACTGGCAAGTAATGCATGCAATAGAATCCAATACAGAATAACACCAAGTCGCAAAGTAGGTTGCCTCATTAGCAGTCTTTCAGCTGATACCCTGATAAACACAACAAGACATAAGCAGTTAGAAACAGCAGGTTCATGAGATACATCTTTAGTAGTTGTAAAACTATGGAATTATGCCTACCATATCCCATCAACTCTATCTGATATAGGCCGAGTAGCTCTTGGGACAAGACAAGACATAGTAAGTGATTTGAATCCATGTGCTGCAGAAGAGAAAAAGAAATCCACATTTAATGGTAATTAAACTTAAATGAATATGAAATCTAATAATATCAACGAGAAGGTTATAACAATAAGCTTACACTTGTCATCATCCTCGTCATCTAAGAGATTGTCATCCTTCTCCGAATCTATAGCTATAGCAATTTGGTCATTGTTTACTTTTCGTCCACTGCGGATATGAGTCACAATTGGAGCAGAGGATGCTTTGTTTCTCTGTACCTACAATAACACCATATAGTAATGACAAAAGTCAGATCATACCAGCAAAAATTGTATTTACAACAATATTGAAAGTTTTTTTTCTTAGACTACATTAAAACTCATTACACAGTTACCAAAAAAACTAAACATAGCAGTAATATTCTTAAACCAAGACAACTAACTGTTGACAAATATCATGGTTCTTTCATGTTAGACATTACTCCTCATGGACTTGATATGATGCCATAACTTCAGTGCAAATGAGTACTACCAATATTTGTTTAAAGATTGCACTCACTTCTTGGAAAATCTAATTTACACCATTTTGCAAAGATCATTACCCTTACCAGCAGAGTTAACCAGACATTGTTTAATTAACTACTTGACCAAAGAAATTAAACACAAACAAACAAAATAAACCTTGAGAATATCAGGAGCTGGTTAGTACAAGTGTATGCCAGCTTACCATTTGTTCAGTCTCTACATGCACTGGGGAGTTCATGCTGGATGAATGAACGGAATCTCTCTGTCTTTGAGATGGCTCTCTCTGGATCTCATTATTGCATACGGTTTCAAGATCTCCAGTTTTAAGTAGCAGCTCTTCAACTCTACTTTTTTCCATTTGCAGCAAGACATCTTTCTTTTGAGCTGTTACCCTCAAATCTTCTAATTCATTCATAATGGACATTATTCTTTTATCTAGGATGTCAGTATATACATGAATTTGACTGCAGTTCTCATCATTGGCGTGTATATGTGATTCCCCAAAACGTGAAACCATCATTTCCATTTTATTTAGCATGTCGTTTATCTGAGACTGGTATTTCTTGTTAGTTTCTTGTGAGGCCAGATCATTGTTGGTGCATCTAGTTACTTCTTGACGCAGGAATGAGATCTCAGCATCCCTTTCTTTTAATTGCGATTCAAGGCTTTCTATCTCCAGCAGTAGATTCTCCGACAAATTGTGCAACTCATCAAACTTGTTCACTGTAGTTGAAAGCTTTGTTAAAGCCTTTTCCCTGGAGGCTTCAACGTTCTCCAATGCTAGAATCTTCTCTTGCACTATTTCCTCCAGTTCCATGTTCCTGTTTTCCAGTGCTTCCGTCTTTGACTCTTCTTCATCAAGTGCTTGCATGAGGCCACTCTTTAGCCCTTCAATTTCTGCATGACAAAATTTGTAGGTAACATTGGGATATACTAAATACGCCTCACTAGATTGTACAATGTTATTAGTTACACTATTACTCATTAGAAGTGAGGGATAATAATCAACATCTGCTCGAAATAACTTACCTTGGTTTTTGGCAGCTAGTATATCAGTTAAAGATTTCAATTTGCCTTGCAACTCTTGTGATGAAGCCTCACTATCTTTTAGCTCACTAATTCTTGATTCTAGTAACTTCTTATCATTCTCCGTCTCAGACACCTTCTTCTCAAGTAAAGAAACCTGTGTCCTCGCAGAATCAAGATCTGTCAAAGACCTCCTTGCAACAGTCTCTGCATCTCTAATCTGAGACGCTAGCTCTTCAGTAATCCTCAGCATTTCGACATCCTTTTCCTGAAGTTCTCTCTGCAAATCCAATATGGTAGCCTTCAATTTCCTATGGTTATATTCTTCCCTCTCATTAATACTGGTCGAGCTCTGAATGGCTGATAACAAAGAGTCAGCAATTGTTCCAATAGAGTGATCTGTGTAAACAATATGTCCACCAGCATCGTCTTGCTCATCAATGTAAGGTAGCAGTGTGACAGCCCCGGATGCTTCAGAACTGTGTCCTTCAGGAGTAAAGGTTCTACCAAGTGTTTGAGCTTTTCTATCCTGAATCTCTTCAATGGAACACCTACATGCTTGATAAAGGAGAGAGACATTTCTACGCGCTGAACTGATTTCATTCTCCTTCTCCTTGATTGCCAATTCAAGGCTTGTAACTTCTCTCTTGAGTGATTCTGAATACTCCTTCTGAGAGACTAACTTTCTTTTTACAGTCTCCAAGATTTCTGACAGAAAGGTTGCCTGTTCATGAATGGAATAGAGGTGTTGATGTATTTTGTCTTTCAGATCATCATATTCCCTTGTGCACTCATGCAAGCTAGAGCAAGCTAGAGCAAGACGCTCGGCTATCAAACTGTCACCAAAATGTGAATCGAACTTAAGTAGCCAGACGTCACCATCAGCATGAGCATTCTCCTAAAAAACACATCATCCAATTAGGTAATGGAAATGGAAGAAAAGAACCATAAGGTACAAGGAAATTAGTAGGTCTTCATAACAAGTGAAAATACGACTGAGGAAGGAGCCATCAAGAACCTACAGATTGCAACTTGCTGACCCACCCAATCCCCACCGCCGCACCACAACCACTTAAAATCCTCCGTTAAATTAAGGAACCAAATTTTTATTCAGCCTACATCCAGAGTTTGCTGCACCATTATTATTATTATTATTTACAGTGTATTTACATCGTGCATCAAACAAGATCTGTGAAAGGCTCTAATATCACATAATTATTTCTCTTGACTCTTGATAGACTGGATGCATGCTCGTTGCTGTCCCTCCCAGACAGGGAAAAAACACCCTGCATAACTTCTCCAGGTATTTCACTTTTCTCCAAAATTTTACTTTTTTCCAAACCCACCATTGAAAGAAATATGTTGATGACAGGAAACAGTCACGTGCAAATTTCAAGAAGGCAACCCAAAGGCCTAACTTGATTGATTGAGGCCGGCAACTGTGCCAAGGGGTTTCCATTGTTTCAATCTTCAACAAATGGAGGCCTCGAACAAAAAGATCACTCAGTCCACAAAGAACGAAATAAGATGACAGCCAGTGTTTGCAAACCATGCTAATATTCCACCACTGTACCTCATCTCCAAAGTTGTAATGAATGAGGGATATAATTTATAGGCTAATATATAAAATCTAGCTCTTGCATTTTTCTTTTACAACAACCAAAGGGTGCATGTGTGTTCCATCAATACACAATACCAGGATACATTAGACTTAAAACTAATGAATTTTTTTTTAATGATAATAACTATTTATTTATTTTAACTGTCTGTATAGTTTATTATGAAAGGTTACAATTTAATGAGGACAAGGTTACACGCGTGGCGTGCAAGCGTGCACACATAATCTGAAAGAAAGGCATAACACCGATGTCTAAAAGTTCAGTTCTACTACTCTTCAGTCTTTTGAGATTTACACTGACTGCAGACTACTTTTAATGTCGCTTCACGAATGAACCACAATGGAAAGTCATAGTGCAATTAATGTCAGTTTGGACAACCAGAATAGATACAAAAGATAATTTGAAGGCATAATTTAGTCAGGAAAGTTATATTTGACATAATATAACTAGGAGGGGATCCAAATAAAAGCTGATGTTAAAGCAGAATCACAGAACAATGCGGATACAATAACCTTACCTCAATTGTTGGATTGATATGAAGGTTGCTACATTCAAGAACAGGTAGATCTGTCACATTTTCATCATTTACTTGTTGCAAGATGGATTCCAAATAGGACTTCAAATGTGAGAAGGTATCCATATCCTTTCTGAGGACATCAGAAAAAAGATTAGAGAACACAATGCGGCCTTTCGTAAGTTTATCAATCCCAGACTTCAACTCCATCAAAGTATCCAATGCCTTCTTTCTTTCATCAGAATGAACCAACATAAATTGTTCAAGACGTGAAACAGCATCCATCTTAGCAGCCTCGGCATCAAGTTTCTGCTTATAACTTTCTGCAAGTGCAGCTTCAGCCTTTTCCAGATCCTCCTGGAGGATGTCGACTCTATCCTGTACTTCATTCAACTCAACTAATAAAAGTTCAGCTGCCTGTTTAGATTTCTTTGCTTCATTCTCAAAAGAAACTACTGCTAAATGCAGGTCACGACTGACTTTCCCAATTTCTTCCATCTTAAGGATAGGATCAGTAACGTTAATGTTTCTGCCAATGTCAATGGAAAGAACAGCTGACAGCAATTCATTCAATTTTTGGCTATGTTGTTCCAGATTCTGTTTACTTTCTGCCAACTGATTCACCAAGAAAGATTTTTCTGATTCTAAAGCTTCTATTTGCTTATTATGCTCAATTTTTAAGTGTTCCGCCATAGTATTCATCTCCTCAATGGTCTGTTTCAGGGCATCTCGCTGTTGCACCAGAGCCTTCCCTTTTCTAACAGCAACGTTTAGCTTCTCTCTTGCAGCTGCAGTTTTTTGCTCCTCCTGGCTTAGTTGTTCTTGCAAGGTATCCCTATGTTTACCCATTGCCTCAAATTCCAACATTACAGACTGATACTTCTCCAGTTGTTCTTGCAAAAAATCCCTATGTTTACCCACCGCCTCTAACTCCAACATTAAGGACTGATACTTTTTCATGTCATGGTCCCTCTCCTCTCGTAACAAATTCATCTGTCTCGTAGTTTCCTCTATTTCTGATTTCAAAGAATGGTACTTCTCCATGGTTTCATCTCGCTCCTCCTTCACCAAAATCAGACTCCTAGAGGCCTCATCAAGCTCCACCCTCAGACCTGATAACTCCTGATCTTTGTCATGCAGAACATCTCTTGATGACTGTTTATCAAGAGATGAATTGCTTTCCTCAAAATGAGCCTCCTTATTGGTAATTGGATGCTTGGAATTTTCTGACAGCATTATATAATTATGAACAAGCTTCCTCAATAATGCTTCCAGAGATGTTATTTCGCTTCCGTCGTAATCCATCCCAATCCTATCACCATCTGGCAATGTATTGAGAACCAAGTCATGCAGGTTCCTTATCTCATTTTTTAAATCTTGATGACCCTTAACCTCAACTTCTTTAACCAACTTTTGCTGCAAGATAGCTAGTTCTCTTTGTAAATTCTCTCTCTCAACTTCATCATGGACAGCCTTCTCAGACAGTGCAAGATACTGGAACCTCAACTTGTCCAGGCTTTCAGAAAAGAAATCTTTTTCAGATTTAACAGTTACAACCTCAGCACTGAGTTCAGATATCTTTTTGTGAGACTCCTCTAAGTCCACGATAAGCATGTCAGTAGAAACCTCGAGGTTCTCAATCTTCAGCTGCAAAGCATCTCTTTCCTGCTGGATTTCAGAAAGTGCTCTTCCCAAACTTTCGAGCCTATCCTCTGGATCCGATGTTCTCAACCGTGAAGGCATGTCAATCCTGTCCAGCATCTCTTCCCATTTCTGTACAACTCTATTCCTCTCCAGCAGGGATTGTTCCAACATATCATTGTGCTCGGCCAAGCCATAAAACTTGCTTTGAAGCTCTTCATATTTTCTTTTCAAATCATCTAACTCTTGAGTAGAATTTGGCTGAATCTCATCTTTCCAAGCCTCTGTAACCACATATCCTGCATCAGAATGTGAGCGCCCCTCAGAACTTTTCTGATCCCAATCAGTCATGGGAAAAGAAGAGTTACCAGCAACCAATCTGGAGAGCAACTCAATTTTTTCTACTATATCCTTTGAGTGGAAATGCTCTGGCAAATCCAAATCTTCCAAGACTTCCTCAATCCTCTGAAGAACGGAATCTTTAAGAAGAAAAGAATCCCTTAGTGCAGTTGCAGAGTTCCGAATATATGAGAGTTCAGATTCTAAAGCTTCAACACGGTCCACTTCTGAACAAGACTTAAGTTTTGCCTCCACTTCGTGAAGCAGTGTTTCTTTTGCCTGCAATTCTTGCACGCATCGTTCAAGCTCACTGGACTTCTCCATCAGAGATTGTTTAAGATTATCTCGCTGCAGAACCAGACCTTTGCCTTTCGCAACAGCTATGCTAAGTTTCTCCCTTACAGAGGAAAGCCTCTGCTCAGAAAGTTCAAGTTCAGATACTTTTGAGTTCAACTCAGAATGAGATACTTCCATAGCCTCTTCCATTTTACTCAAGCCCTCTTTGAGGAATTTAATTTCAGCTTCTTGTTGAAGGTTTGAGGCACTTAACAGCTGCACTTTATCTTTTAATTCACTCACCTTAGGTACCAACTCTTGCTTAAGTAAGATATTCAAGGGCAAGGACCAGTTTTCAGCTGAAACTTCAGTAGCAATATTACCTTCCTGTAAGCAAATCTTTGAAGAATTCAACTGCTCAATAATCTCCTCATGCTTTTGAAGATGGCTAGCAATTAATGCCTCAAGTCGTGATAACATAGACATGCAGAAGTCAGTCTCCATGTTCTCAGAGGTCATAGACATAGAGACAGCATCTAATTCCTTACCTGATTCATGCTCTCCCAGTCTCTCGGACAATAAACAAACCTTGTTGCTCAATTCTTCGAAAGTTTTGCCTCTATTCATCAAAATCGATTCAAGCCCATCTTTGCCACGACATTCATTTTCCAACTCCTTGGACAAAGCATCACATCTCATGTTCAGCTCTTCGATATCATGGTTTCTGTTTAATAATCCTACCTCTAACTCAGTATTTTTAGATAAAAGGTGGCGGTATTCATCATTCAGCTTCTGCAAATGTCCAATAAGCAAATCAAAGTTTCCACCCAGATTCTCTAGGGATTCATCAGCAGTCACATCTATCAGAGTATCTTCCACACTCTGATATGAATCACAAACAACATTGCTAATTCCACCGTGTGTTTTTTTCAGTATCTCAACAGCCAAAATATACCTTCCTTGCATGTCTGAAAATGATCTACTCAAGTCCTCAAACGAAGTTTCAAGGGTGCTGTAATTAACAGAAGCGGTTTCAAGCTTCTCACGCAGACGTGTAATTGCCAGTAAAGCAGCATCAACAGAAGCCACAACATGGGAGCCAACATCCAATCCATCACCTACATACAGTCCCGTGGAAGCATTAAGCTTTCCAGTTGCATTAATAATAACACCCCTGATAGAATCCTCTTCTTGCTTATAAATGAATGACCTGTCATTCACTTCCTTCTGCAACATTTCTACTTGACTTAGTAGCCTCGCTGTCTCTTCATTTGCACCTTGTTGTATTTCATCTATATGATTCTCAAGTTCAGCTATTTTTGATTTATAGGCAGACACATTCTCAACGAGCCCATCAATCCTTTCTTGAAAGAAGCTATTCTGTTGATTTTCAGGTTCAGATTCCATACTCGACTTGCTAAAATGCTCTCTGCTATTTTGTTCCTTTGCTAAAGGAAGTTCAGCCTTTTCTAACTCCAAGTCCATCTTCTTTAGAATATCTCCGAGACTGGATGTTTGTTCCTTCGTTATTGCATATGAATCTTCAGGGTGTTCTACCTCAATTGGAGACGGCATCTCATCTGAAACACTCTCCACATTATGAGCTTTTGACTCAAAGGCTTGAATAATTTTTGATATTCCAGGTGCTGCTGCTTTTCCACCTGACCTACTCAAAGACACAGCATAAGAGTGCATATTATCAACTGAATTCTCAAGGTTATGCAATATGATATTGGCCTCTTGCAATTGCTGCTTCAAAATTCCAAATAAAATGGAGTTGTCATGATCTTTTTCTGGATCCTTCTGAAGCAACACCATTCCTGTATTCCCAGATTCTTTGGCTTTAAAAGGTAATTCCAGGCGCGTTCCATTGAGCTCCCTGATCTTCGCTTTGTGCACATCTAAACTACTAGCAAGATACAAGTTCTCCTCAATAAGTTGCTCAATGCATGGCCCTGCATCTCTGAGGCTGCTCTGAAGTTGTACCAGCTCATTAAGGGCAATAATTAACTGGTCCTTCTTTTCCAATACCTCTGAAGCGAGCTTCTTGTTCTCACTAGAAAAGAAATTGTTCTCATCCATGAGCTTCTTCCTTGCATCTCTTTCAGAAATTATGTTTTGTGTCAAGTCCAATTTTTCTTTCTGCAAGGTATCTAATGAGGCTCTGCAACCAGCTAATTCTGCCAAAGCTTGAGATAACCCTTTTTGAGACTGCTTCAGGTTATTCTGCAACTCGTTGGCCCTGATCTGAAGTTCCTCCATTTCCCCTTCTATGAAAAGAAATTGATTCCCAAGTTCGTCCTTCGCAATAGTCATGGCCTGGAGTTCAGACCTGCACTTGTCAAGTTCCTCATTTATCATTCCCCTGCTATTTTGAGTTTCCTTCACCAAATCCCTGAGTTTTAACATTTCATCAAAAGAGTGTTGCTCTTTTTCTGCACTTAATACAATCTGTTCTTCTAGCTGCAACCGGAAGACATCCTTCTCAAGAGTTGTTATGTAAAGAAGTTGTCTAATATCCTCAACTTCCTCATTAGAGCTCAGCGCATGAGAATCTTCTTTGTTAATCTCCTCAGTCATCTCCCAAAATGATACAACCACTCGTGGAGAAAGCTTCTCCAAAGACTCTACAGTGGCATTCTTCCCAGGAGAAGATTGAGCCACTCTCTCCTCCATATTTCTTTTTTCCTCTCCTGTGTCTGTAATAATGGCAACATCTTCGCTCTTGGAGTGTGGAATATCTTTGGTAGAGGAAGCTGAATTTTCCAGATTTTCTTCAGTATAGGAAGTCCCTTCAGGCTCATCCGAAAGACTAACCCTTGCCTTATGAAACAGTGCTTCGCTATGAATAGAAGACCCATCCACCTCTTCAGTTCTTCCAGTGTGTTGTCCAAATTCTTCATCGTTTCTTCGATCCCCTTCCTCATTACATATAGAAGCACCATCTCCCTCTTCCATGAGCAGAGTACCTTGAGAAGCAGATAATATGGTATCTAAAGTTTCTTCAACAGAAATACTGTCTTCTGGCCTGTAAGAAGAACTCATATTTCCCTCCATAAGTAATATATCAGGCAGAGGAGGCCCATTAGACTCTAGATTCCACTCAGATAGAAGCATGGCTTTTTCATCATTTCTTCTATCCCCTTCCTCATCAGCAGGAGCTGCATTATCTTCTGCTGCAGCAGAGAGAAAATCCTGTGATAAAGGGAGAACGGCAGAACTTTCCTCAGCTTTATCAGAAACAGATGCATCTTCCACCTGAAGTTCTTCAGCCAATATAGAAGACCTGGCTTCCTCCTGAGTTGCTCCAAGCCCCAATATGTGATGGATGGCAGTTTCTTCATTATTACTTTGTTCCCCTTCAGCATCAACTACAATAATACCTCCTTCACTGTTAGTGAATAGCATATTTTGTTCTAAAGATTGTGCATCTGAATTTTCTTGGATAGGAGTCCTCTCCTCGGGCTTATCAGATACAATAGAACCAACCTCTTCAAGTCTTCCAGCCAGAAATGAAGATTGAGTAGCTTCTTGATCAGGTGTTATACTTTCCTCAATCATTCCAACTCTAATCACATGCTCCTCTGGTGAAGTTTGGTTCCTGTCTCTTCCATTCTCAGAATTGTCAAAAACAAGACTTTCTGCACCTTCTTCAGTGACTTCAGATGAAGTAGAAGCAGCAGCACCATCTTCATTGGTCCTCTCCGAATCTGGAGCCATAACATGAATGCTTCCATCAGCTTCATCCTCTCTATTCTCCAATATCTCACCGTTGAATTCTTGAGATCCAGAATGGTTAGCTTCCTGCATTGCCCCTACCCAGCATCAAATGAGAATTAAATTATACATCAAAACCCACAACATTCTTCCCCCAATCTACCCCTCTAAAGTCACAACTTATAGAATCACAAAGAAAAAGTTCCCTTACCTGGCGATCTAAAGAAATAGTAGGATGCTCTTCTTGGTCCCTTCCGTGTTTAGCAGAGGGAACAGATGGAGAATCTGGTAGTTTTGATAGCTCCTCAGGATCACCACCATTCTCAGGCTTGCTGGCCTTGCCCGAAGATTTCCCCTTCTTCTTTCTAAACTGTTGGAGCTGAGAAGTGTGAAGCAGAACAATTGTAACTAAATTATTAATCCTGCAATTTATAGCAATAGTCTTTCTTGACAAGCTAGCCATGGGAAACAAACTTCAAAAGCTCTTTTTTTTTGTCCGTGTGGGATTTTAAAAAGAAATGTCTCAATTAGGAATAGTTCTTTTACACTTTATATCGTGGCAATCTGTCCATATGCCCATCTAATAATTGCTTTTGGTCCAAAGATGAAATTCTTATTGATAGTGGCATTTAAATTTTCTTTTTTTCCCCTTAACATAATGTGTTCTAACATATTTACTTACATTTGATGTGTGTCTGTCTGTCCATTCAAATTAAAACATATAGCACTAAAAACTAAAATTATATGTAGGAACTAAATCTGACTAAAATTGCACCACCCAAAAAAAAATTTAGTAGTGGCATATCTCCCTAACGAAAGAATGTATAAAGTTCAAAATTTTAAGAAATTAGGAATCTTGCAACAGCCCAGGTGGTACATCCATCAAAATCACCAAACTAATTGAAACAAAAAAGAAATCCCAATTTCAGACAACAAGTAGGCTTATACAGAGAATAGAGGGGGGGAATTCTAAATTCTGGAAATTTTCAAATATTGAATGTTCAAATAACCCAAAAAAAATACTGCCCAAACATCCAAGAGGTGTTCAGATGCACTGTCCCCTAAAAATCACAGGACAACGAGAGAGAGAAAAATCCCAGAAAAATGCATAAACTAAGATTCAATGAGATAGGAGGGATCAAGGACCTTCTTTCGGCCAGCAGCGAGCATATCGGTTCTGCTCTTGTTCTTATCCATCGACTTCGCCCGATCCGGCCGCCGATCAATAAACCGAATGAAGATATCAGCGGAGCTCCGGCAGCATCACCGACGACCCAACCTGAACGAATCAATCGTCAGTCCCAATTCGAACGAAAACCCTAAGTTCAGATCAGAAATGCTAACATCAACCTCGCCTCGATCGGAGAAATTAGGGTTTTCTCTCTGCGCTTTGTTGCTATCTTTGGTTGCTTTGCGGTGGCGGTGATCGTGCACTCTTCGGTTACTTAAATTGGAGCGTTTTTTTTTTTTTTCACCAGATCCGATCGAGGAGAAGAGAGCGATTTTGTTTCGTGCTGGTAAAAATTAAGAAAAAAATAAAATGAAATAAATGTTGGCTCGTTTCTCTCGCTCTCTTTCTCTCTAGTAAATGGAATGAAGGACGACGGTAATGTCTCGGCTCGAAATCCATCGGGCGGGCCTTTATGTGGGCCAATTTGTTAATTTACTTTGCAGTTGTTAACTTTCTAGGGTCTTGGAAATAAAAAAATTTTAAAAAAAATGCTGCCTTCGCTATTCTTATAGTTGAAAAAAAATCTTACGTCTAAATACCCATATTGGTATTTTATTTCAACCTCATTTGCCAAGAAGGTATTTTAATTAAAAAATCGGCGTTAAGGCATTTTAATTGAATAAAATTACCAATTAGGTCTTTTTCCTCGTCGGCGACCACTTTTCCGGCGAGAACTCGTCACGTGCGTTGCACGCGGTGGCTTATGTGTTTAAGCTGCTGATGTGGCACTGTTTTCTGACCAACGCGGATCTTAGCTGGGACTCGGGGTGAACTCGGCGATGGCGGAGAGTTCTTTGAGCGGAGCTTGGAGCGGCAGCGTAGCGTCTGTGGTCTTCGACGGGGAAGAGAGGACGGCGTGGCGAGGTGGAGGGGCTGGCCTGAGATGGTCGTGGGGCTGGTCTGCAAGCATGGAAGGGGGATGGGGTGGAGGCGGTGATGGCGGGTGTGGGGCTCGTCGGGGTTGACGACGAGGGAGAGAGGCGCTGGCTGTTGGAGACGAGAAGGAAGGCAACGACGGTTGGATCTGGAGCTTGGTGACGGAGCTTGGGTGGCTGGGGCAGATGGGGTCGTCGGAAAAGCGGTCGCCGACGAGGAAAAAGACCTAATTGGTAATTTTATTCAATTAAAATACCTTAACGCCGATTTTTTTAATTAAAATACATTCTTGGCAAATGGGGTTGAAATAAAATACCAATATGGGTATTTAGCCAAAATCTTACCATGATGATTTAAAATGAAGCGGTCCATATGCAGGAAAAGTATTTACTGGGTGAAAATTAAAGTATATTTTTTCCTTAACAATGTTTGTGACTAAAATTTCTACTGCTCCGGTGCACGTGACGTGTGTAATACAAAAATATGAGGACATTTCGGTTTGATTTTTGCGAAGATGAGAGAATTCACGCTGATTCTTCTAAGCTTAAGTATTGCCTTTCTTTGTTTTTTTCTTTTTTCCCTTCTTAAATTTTTTTTTGGCAAGTGTAAGGGTGTTTATTTTGTTTTTCAAAAGCGCCAAGTGATTTTACGAATAGATGAAAAATTAACACAACCTACAATTTATTAAATATATAGTATAAATTTGTTTTCTTTGTGAAGACTTGCTAATTTCCCAACTAACTGGCAGAGAATCAGATGTTCATGCACTAGGATAGAAGAATAATAACATACCAAGTGGTCCAACAAAGAAGACACTTGACCTTCATTCGTCACTAATTTAATTAAAAAAAGACCATGAATTCCAAATGATTGGCTTCTGTCAACTTCCTCACATCTCCTTGTTTTGTCCGTCTATTGGTAAAAGATTTTTTAAAAAAAGGAAGAAGAAGAAAAAGTTAGCGTTCGGCATAACATGGAAAAATTGGTGAGATGTGTATTCACACAAAAATACAAAATCATAATACACAAGCCAAACAAAAGCAAAACCATCTGAAATTTGTGCATCTCTTCTATCAGCAGATTTTCGATACACTAAATCAACTTTGGAAAGTAAAAAAGAAACATTAGAGAGTTGTCAAGTCTTTGTCACACTTTAAGTAGTTGTTGCAAGAGTAAACAGCAAGCTATGATTCATAAATGAGGAGAGCACAATCATAATTAAGAGAATCCCTTTCAAACTACTTGGTTTGAACTCATCCATCATGACAGAAGTCAGAAGGGAAGTTTGTTTGTGCATATGCAAGTACTATAACAGTAAGTACATAAAACATAGAGAGAGAATGAATGTAGTTACATCAAATTTTCAAATTCAACCTATTTACAAATTTAATTGCAAAACTCAACATGTTTCTAACTTAATTTTCAAATTCGACCCAGTTTCAACCAGTTGGCTAAAACTGGGTCAAATTTTAAAAAAAAAATATACGAAACTTCACGGGACTTCCAAGTCCCGTGAAGTTTAGACCCCCGCTAATCATGATTAAAGAGGGCTTAAACTTCACGGGACTTGAAGTCCGTGAAGTTTTGTAACTTTTTTTTTCAAAATCGACCCAGTTAACTGGCTGAAACTAGGTCGATTTTGATAAATAAGTTGCAAAAAGGTCGTTTTTTATAATTATGTTTCTAAATAGATTGGTTTTGAAAATTTGTCCTTACATCTATATTCATCTCAGTGCCTTGTTTCTTCTTGCTTATGCCCCTTTTTTATGGTGATCTAAATAAATTGATTTTGCACCATTTGTTTCAAGTCATCAGAATATCAGAGTGGCGTCCCATTAGTGTAATATTTATTAGCCTGTGGTCATCAGAATATCAGAGTAGCATTACCATCCTTCTGACGGTAATCTCACCTTTTTTTTTTTTTTGGAACATTGTTTCTAGACATTAGACTAACTTATATAAACCTATATATTCTCAAACTATTCCAGGACATAATTTGGTTAATTCTCACTGCTAATTATTTTTTGACAGAATTTAAAAAAAAAAACAATGGTTTTGCCCATTGGTATATTTGCAAATCTCTAGCTAAGTTATATCCTAAATGGTGTATTTATGAAGGATTGTATCAAGTAACCATAAATATGCATATAGGAGCATGCTTCCATACTTGAGAATCGCGATATGATGAATATAGAATCGTACATCGGCATCCTACAAGATAGATACTTCCATCCTTTCACTTTGTTTACACCTAAAAGATACATTGTATATGACATAATTCATATGCCTTGAGGTTAAAACAGAGTCTAAAAACTGTACCATGGTTTTAATGCTTAAAATCCACAAGAAGATGCCATGAACCAGAGACTTGCAAGCAAAGAGAGAAATCCCTCAAGCAGAAATTTACTTTAAAAAATACGAAATAGAAGAGTTTTTCAGTTGAAGGCAGTATTCAACATTTCAAGAATCCCCCGTCACCTTATGGATAGACGCATCACTGCTAAAAAAAATTACAATAGCTTTCTAAGACAGCAGAGCAAATACAAAATAAACACTTGCCAACTCAAATCCGTTGTACAAAAAGCCTTCAACTCCATTTACCAATCAAACCCTAAATTATACAGGTACAACATCGATCTTTGAAGAGTCTTCGCAACTAAGGACAATGCCCTCGAGGCTCACTGGGAGTATGCATTTGGACCACTGACAGCCCACAGATAAAGGCTCAGAGGGGGGAACAATCATTAGAACGTTGTCATTTCTTTGGACAACGCCCATTACACTCACGGTGCTTCCTTCTTTGATGTACCTGAAGGAAGGAAGATATCGATGACTAAGTGTGGTCAATAAATGCTAATAGTTTACAGTGAAATTACATAAGAGTACATAATTATTGCCTAGTTTGTCTTCTTGCAAGAAGACATAGTATATAATCTATCATGGATAGTCTTCTTGCAAGAAGACATAGTATATAATCTATCATCTATCCATGATCTTCTATTATCTATTATCTATTATTAAGAAAAGTCATCCTTTTCGTCCCAACTTTTTGGTCTACCCCTGTGTAAGTCACGAATTCAAATAATTCCATAAAATGTGCTCAGAATTTACACATATAGTCTAAGAATCATGAAAAGGGTACTAAAAATAAAATACCCTTTTTAACTTCATTCATCGCATGTTCTTCCTAACTACACCTATTAACCCCCACCAACTCTCTTTAATACCCACTTACTCATCCATCCCTCCAACTTCTCATCATTTTTAACCTCAAAGTTGAATTGTGTATGCGTGCATAGCATGCGCAAGAAATACTGGTACTAATTTTTAAGAAAATCCCTATTTTGGTTCGTGTGAGCTTCATTTTTGGAATTCCGAAAATCCCCTCATATATGTATTAAATAAAAAGTTTCTAACATTTGAAGAAATCAAGGAAACGTCCTGACACCTAGAAAAAGCAACGAAAATGCCCTCAAAGTTGGGAGGGAAAAAACTAATAAACTGTTTGTTCCCTTGACAGTTTGACCACAACACTCCCCTAGTTTCCGAGTCAGATAAAGGCAAGCCCCTTTATTCTCCGATATTTGATTAAATCCTCGCTAGAGCTGTTGCAACTCAAGAATAATTGCTTCAAAGGTGATGCCTTCTTGATAAGGAAAGGATTTATATGTAATGAGACCAAAGAGAGAAATAAGGACCAAATTCAAATGAAACAGATATTACCATTTTCATAAAGAATATGACTTTTCCAGATCAGATAACTTACATCACAGATATATACATGTAGTAAAAGAGCCACACAGTTTAAAAAAACTGAGAATACAGTTCTATTTATTATTCTTTTTTATGATCCCTCCATGCATGGTTTGAGTAGTGTTGTTTGATTGGGGTTCATAAAGTATATGAAAGTAACTTGGAACACTAGTTTTAACCTAAAAGGTATAGAGAATATTTTCCATTAAAGCAAAAGTCACACTTCCATTTTAATTCAGAAAAAAAAGGAACTCTGAAATTCTGCTTCCTATCAGAGTGGAGAAGTGTAGTTTGCTTGCCTAATTTTCTTCAAGTCACTGGTATTTGTTGAAGACCCAAACAACCCATAACAAAAGAATATTGTTTCATTGAAATGCCTTATTATTTCCTAGTGAACAACAAAGAACAGTGATCAAAACAGTAATGTTAATATATCCAATTACAACATTCTTTTAACACACAATAAAAAAGGGAATTAAGAATCTAACTGAAAAGAAACTTTGCAACAAATGATAGCTTGAGCTTACCCCTCTTTTAGACGCATGACCCGATCATCACTTGAAAGGTTCCTCTCCCCCAACCACCTGATAAAGTGGGGAGATAAATCCTTATTGCTGGGGTTGATATCAATAACAGTGGACTCATCAACATATGGGGCTACTCTTGCACCATAACCGGTCTTTACCAACGCTCGTAAGCCAGACTGGAAGTCTGATATGTAAAAATCCACAACATGCCTCTGCAGAAATGTAATGAAAGTTCAAATAAATGCCAATAAGCTAAAAGAAAAGGGCTAGGTGCTTTTTTCCCCAATAAAGGATAATCATTTTATTGATTCCATATAATACAAAGGGATTGGAGATCAAATTCACATTCCATTTTGTTCAATGAATTTACAAGTTCATGAATATTTATATTATCCACAAAGATGATTTGCAGATATGGAATAGATTTTATTCCTAAGAGGGATGGTGTATAATAGATCACTTTAAAAAATTGAGAGAAAGGTCCTCACTATCCACTATTTTATTTTCCTTTATGTTATGAACCAAATGTAACACTTCTCTAAATTAAGCTATCTAATAATGAATTAGTTAATTACATGAGTGCATAATTATCTATTACGAAGAGAAGGTACATACAGTCATGGAATACCAAGTTAAACTGGGCTATTATAGGTTTTAGTAAGTCACTAATAGCTATTTCCAATTATGGAACTACAGAAGTGCTGACATTCTTTATCATGTAAAAGCCTAAAATAAGGCTGAAGTTTAATGAAATGGAAGAGAAGTAGAATAGTTTTGTAGAGATGGGTGATCCTCTGTACCCGTTTCGTCATGCCCTTTCTTCTTCCTTCTAGTGCTTTGCACTGCTAGTGTATGTGGGACAACAAAAATACCCTCAAATATTCCCCATATCCACAATAAAGTATCATGATCCTATTTCTATTATCTTGTATTACCCGAGAAGTGTTGAGAGAATGGAAACTTGATTTAACAAGTGTTTGGTTTCAGTTTATGTAATCCACTTGCTCTCTGCTGCCATTAGATACCAAAGGCTTATGTTGGGTTTGACTACCACTCATCTAGACTTCATCACGGAATCATTTTAAGAACATGTCATATGCAAATTGAAGAAATCTATGGCTTTCGCAATTCGCATTAATAATTAAGAAAGGAGAAAGATGGATATCAGTAAGCTATTACTAACCTCCACTGCTCTGAGCCCCCATGTAAATCGGCGATGTTGAGAATTGGCAGCCTTTGAGTCCCATCCCCTATATTCATATAAACTCATAGAAGTGTATACACATCTTGGAACCTTCTGATATGATGATTCAAGAGGAACATTTCCACAGGTAACCACCTGCAAGAAATTTATTATATCATGGAAGTCCAGAGAACAGATGGTAATTGGTAAGTGAGACTACTTAGAAGTATGATCATCAACAGAGAGCAAGCAATTGTTACTGAGTAAAGATTGGCAATTGGTTCATCACTTTGAACTGAAAACCAAAACCTATGCAAGCACACAGGAAAAAAGAGATTACAATTTCAGAAGAAGGTAAGAAGCTTTTGGGTTAAAGAGGGATTAAGGATTTTTCTGTACAGATAAAAACGAGGGTAGTGATAACCGTTATTAAGACACTGTATAGGCAATCTAAAGAAGGCCAGCAATTTTTATGTTTATACTGTGTATAATGGATTTCTCTATTGACTCTAATAGTGCATTACAGGTTTCCGTAAACTTGCTTTTATGTGTTTGCCAGTTTATGTTGTGGGTCATGAGACAAGATTCAAGAAGATGCTTCTGGCCAATGTAGCACAAATGTGAATTATGAAATTCAATCGAATTATCAAGAGAAGAGAAAGCAGAAATTTCATATGAAACTTCAAGAGTATATAGTTAATCAAATTTGCTCTCCCCATGTCCTGCATGTTATAATCCAATTATATTGTCACGATGAAGTTCATCTAAAATAATTGTGTCCCCAAGGATCATAGTTACATAGCACTTCTCAAAAAATGAAGGATAAATTACAAACAAATATCCTCTGTTTACGTCCAATTTTGAGGTAATCACTATCAACTGTTAAAGTTCAAC